CAACAATTTTACTGACTACGTTTATTATTCGCCTCTCTAACATTTGTTCTCTTGGAACCTCGATGATTAAGTCTACGATTTTACCAACACATTTGCCAACAATATTGCATGCTACTGTCTTTGCCATTGCTACTAGTTTTAGAATCAAATCTAACTTTTTTTCGTAGGAACGATATTCATGATCCCTTTACCGACAAATTCGATGACACATTTTCCAACAAATCCCGCACCACCTGCTTTAGTAAAACCCTCCATAGCATACTTGTTAGCAACCCTACAATTATAATATCTTCCAACCGTTGTTTACCCGATCCGGAATAGTCTCCAATATTAGCCACATATAAACCTCCATACCTGCATATACAACACTTGCGTATTACCCATAACAACAACAACAACCAACACCTTCACATCTTGAACGGCGTCTCTGGAACCACGCTCTCTTCATTATTGGCATGCCTATTCATCGCCGCAAGCTTCACCTTCTTCTGCGCATTACTTAGTCTTCCAGGAGCACCCCTCTTCGCTGGAGTCAGCTGCCCATCACCCTCAGTGGCCGCAGCTTGGTTAATCAGCATCTTTGCCCTCTGAAAGCTAGTGCTTGCCCCTGGCACAGCCCTCGGCCGGGGCATCAGTTCCGGATGTCCAAGAAGCTTGCGGTAGCTCATTGGTTCAACATTATCAGACCCCATTAAGGGGGCGTAGCCCATAACCGGAACAAGTGAAGGGAGTTTGAGATCGGAGTTCAAATCAAGCACCTTACCCACAGGAAGCTCTACGATCTCCTCGCCCGCCATCGGCTGTGTAGAGCTCATGGCTCCATGAAGATGGGGATACCTGCTCCTCGACGCAAGTCTACGGGTCGGCTGTGCACTTGTAGACGCTGGAACCTGGTAACTCGGAGTGTCCCATTCCATGTGCGGAACCTGGGAGTGCTGGGGCACCATGGGCGAGAGCCTTCCAACATTCTTTCTCGCCTTCAAAGAGCCCATGTAGCTATTCATGGGGGGAGGCCCCATCCTACGAGGCGGGGTGGAAATAGGGTCAGCAAAAACATCGTCAAGACCCGACAGCCGTGAAATGTCAAATCCATCCTCTTTTATATAGTCCTGGGTTTGAGTAAACATCCTGGGCAGCAGACGTGGCGGTGCAGTACTTGTGAATGACTCTGAGTTGTTAGGCTGTGTGGGCATGAATGAAGACTGTGTCGAGTTCTGTGTGAACACAGATGACCGGAGCTGTGCACATAGGGGCATAGGCTCTGGTGCGTTCTGCTGGGTGGCTACACGAAGCAGTGGCTGTCCACAAGATGGCGGCGGCACCTGTGAAGAGCTCATGTCCTCCCATGGACGAACAGGCAAATAGGTATCATCACATTCACCGGTAGTAGTAGAGCTTCTAACCTCATCTGACTGGTTCTGGTTCATGACACCACTCATACTATCACCGATACGTGTCAGTACTGTCTGATAATATACGTGTTATCTTGAGTTGGGAGGGGATAAATACATCTCTTTCTGTATCGCATCTTGACTCCGAGTTCTCATTGTACTTTTCTTTGCCTTCTCCTTGGCCGGTGTCTTCTCTTTAACAGTCCCGGCTACCTTGCGAACATATGTCCTCTTGGGCTTCTCGGTCTCGCTCTTCTTCTTATTCAGCGAACCCTTGGGTCTTCCAGGTCCCCGTTTCTTTGGAGGCTCGGGCTCAACCCCAACCTCTTTGTCACTAAGCACTGCCTCTGTAGTCGTGACATCAGAAGCATTGGTGCGTTGAGACCCCGTACGAGCTGCTCGTGTACGAATGGCATTATTGTTCCCGACCTCTTTCTCTTTAGTCACAGAAGAATCAAAGCTAACCCTTCTAGTAGTAGGTATCAGTGGAACTGTTGAGGCCAGTACTGATGGCTGTGGTGGTGGTGGTGGTGGTGGTGGTGGTGGTGGTGGCTTTGAATAGAAACTGGCATCATCATCATCATCATGGAAGTCAGCATCAGAATGCTCCCACATGGTTGGGGCCTCGTTATTCTCCTTGACCCTGGTCAGGAACTGATGGTATCGCTTTTCGTCATCCAACAGTATCTGCTGTTTTCCCTTACCTGGGAAGCGGTACCATACATCCTTCCCCTTCCATCTCTTGCGGAACTCTTCATAGTCGAGTGTGAATTGGTAATGGACGTGCTTTTTGTCCACCAGTACGGAGTAAATCTCAAGCGTCTTGACACCATAGGGGGCAGCAGCGGAAGGAGGTTTTGGAGGTGGCAACATCACTTGCTTTCTTGGTAAGTTCAGACGATGTACAAGGTTATGTGCCGACGGGGACAGCGGTGCGGCATCATCATCCACACGGGGAGCACCGATAGTCATAACATTGGCAGGAACTCGCTCAAGTTGAGGTGCAGCAGCAGGTTGAGCCACGGAAACTGCAGCCCCAACAGGGATGGGTGGCCTAGCTGACACCGGCACCCCCACCGAAGATGTTGCGGCCTTAGTCACTGTGCCCACGCTAATTGAACCTTCAGCGGAGACATAAGAAGAAGAAGAGGTATCATCATCCTCTGCTGTAACACAGTCCTGGACCATTGGTTTCTTGCGTGGAGGCTTGCGGTGTACCGGTGGAGCTTCGTCAACTGTCTCCTTGTTGGCAGAACGTTTACCGGTGCTTGATGTCTTCTGTATGCTTGCTGCTGTTGCTGTAGCCCGCTGAGGGGCAATAGGTGCAGGAACCGCTGCCCTCGGTGCTTGTCTTGCTGGGGCAGCGGCAGGGCCAGATGCTTCCCTTGGTTCTGCTGTATCTATAGGGACAGCAGGCACATTTCTCGCAGTGGCTCTCTGTGCTGCTGTTCTCCGCCTGCCAACATAGTGGCCGGTGGTGGGAGGTCTTCCCTTCCTCACCGCACCACCGGCGAGGGTAATGTCTTTATTTTTTCTTCTGTTTTTATTACGTCTCTTGTTGTTGGTCAGAGAGATTATGATTGCGAGACAGACGGAGTCACTATAGTTATACTTGGCAAGAGCGTTTCTGACTTTGTCGATGAGGTATTGGCGTGTTGCCTTACTTCGGACCGACTTCCACGCCGACCCAATAATAAACTGTACAGGCTTTGCAGCCAGTGCATCAGCAGCCATCTTTCTCCTTTTATTATATTCTTCCCGGTCTTCTTTATATGATCGAAAACCCATTTGTTCGATCAATGGGGCTTTGTTAGCAGTATCGAGGAGGTCCTCGATGGCCTTCTCGTCGTGGAGTGGAAAGTCCCCGATGGCTGACCCCTCGCTATCAGACCCGCTTGTGTCTTCAACAAGCCTCTCGCCAAATGACTGGCTCTTCTGCTGCTGCTGCTGCTTACTCTTTTCGTGCTGCCGCTCTCTCTCCTGCCTCTGCTGTTCCTCACGTCTCTTAATCTCCTTTTGCTCCTTCCATTGCTTGAATTCTTCCATGTCTAGCATTGTGTTTGGAGCAATAGGCTCTGTGATGTCTGCCATATTCCGCTGCATCTGTACCATCATGTCCATCAGTATATAACCATCTACCATTTACATGTAGCTGTCTTGATACAGATGCTCACCTTTGATAAACAGTGTGGTGTAATAGAAAAAAGGGACAGATAGATGTTTCTACGGTGGAATGGAGAGAAGATGGAGAAGGATATGTCCATACTATCTACCCCCACCCACCCTGGCTCATGCAATATGGCTCACCCGTAGATGTCGATCTGGCCTTCCACTCCGCCTATCGTGCATCCAAGATCTCACGTCCCGCCAATCTACCCCACCATCAACGTGTCATGTATTCTACATATTCACTTTATACTTATAAAAAAAAATTATACACACCAATCACGATTATGGCGGATGCAGCAAACCCAGCACCATGGGCACCGAGAGAGAGACGACTCTGCCACTGTGGGATGTACAGAGGAGTACCCCACCTTGTGACAAAAACCATCTGGTACAGACACAGGCAGCGGCAGGCATGGCTTGAGCGGCAAGCCACCCAGGAGGATATTCCGCCAGTAGATTTGGACTGGGAAGTAGTAAGTACATGTGGTCAAGGTGCATTTTCTACCTACATAATCCTGACCCTATACAGATTGATGCCTCCTATCCCGAGAGTGAGCCCATGCCATCAGGAACCCCCGTCTTTAATGATCAGGTATATGCGATACAACACATGTATAGTATGGTAGCTCAACCCACAACTCGATTAACTCTGTTCTGGTATAGGAAAACAGCCCAGAGCCAGCGGAGGCTACACCGGTCTTTGAGGATGCCTTATTTATAGAAGCTTCACCTGTGTTTCACGATCCCGGACGTATGGATTCACAGGATCCTTTTACAAACTACAACCTACAGCCCCGCCTCGGGCATGTGCAGCAGCAGGTACAGGTCCATGCCTCTCAAGAGCATCAACCTGAGCAGTCACCAAGCCAGGAAACTGTGAGAGGAGAGTCTGTTGTACCAGAGTCGGTGGTCTCAGAGAGAGAAGATACAATCAGTACATTGAACCACAGCTTCCACCACTCCACGGTTGGGCAAGAGGAGGGGCATGTGCCTTTAGATGAGGAGGCACCGCTGTTCCGTCAACGGACAGAATCGACTCAGTATGACCTAAACATGGCATACATCACCCCGGTTCCTACCAATACGGCAGGCCAGAAGGAGAATGATAATCCTAGCTCCTCTAGCAGCAGCGAGTCCAGTGCTCATGATATTCCTGATAACTCACCTCCTCCATCCATTCATGGCGATGTTGATGCTGATATAGATGCTGATAGAGATGACGACGTTGATGCACCCAGTGAGACTGATAATGAGATTGACGAGCGTATCCAGAGCCCAAGCTATTCCAATCCATACTATGAGGATGTCGAGGATGTCGAGGATGTGCCCAGCTCTGAGGACCCAGAGAGCAGTGGAGCAGAAGACGGTGTTGAGGATAACGATGACGATGACGATGACGATGACGAGGGCCCAGAAGTGCTGACAGAGTTCCCATACAGCATGATTCCGAACGTTGTTCTGGAACCTGCAATGATGAGACACCTCCGGCTGATGAAGGTCAGGATGGAAGGGAACGTGGCTCAGGACATACACATGAGGTACATCCAAGCTGTCCAGGCCTTTGACAACTCCGAGGTCTCAGTGACAGACGAGGCAACAGCGAAGAGAGAGCTCGGTGTGATTACAGAGATATACCACGTTCGGTATGACGTGTGTCGAAACAATTGCATCTGCTACGTTGCCTTTCCAAGGGCTGACAGATGCCACATATGCAATGCAGAAAGAAGGGATAGCAATGGAAAACCGTACCGTACGTTTGACTATATACCCCTAATCCACAGACTGCTGCTACTCTATACAGACACTGCGTACGTAAAGATTACGATGGAGTACAAGGAGTCTTTTGCAAACCAGGAGACGCCACAGAGCTCAGTGCGGGACTACTGGGATAGTCTTTTGTTCAAAATGGTCAAGAATAATAGAGGCTTGTGGACCGATAGCAGAGACGTCGGGTTCATATTCAGCACAGACGGCTTCTCCCTATTTAAGGCACACGCCTCTACTGCTGCCTCTTTTCAATTGAATCCATAGCTGACTCATGTGTTACAAATAATCAATAGATTGGGCAGTACGATGTCTGGCCCCTGCTGCTAATCAACTGCAACCTGCCGCCGTCTGAGAGGGTCCTGAAAAAAAACCTAATTCTGTGCGGCATAATACCAGGGCCTGGCAATCCCAAGGACCTGGGGTCCTTCTTGAAGCCAATGATTGATGAATTCCTCACACTGCAGGTGGGGGTAAAGGCTTGGGACGGGCTGCGAAAGGAGAGATTTATACTGCGCGCTAACATAGCCCTAGTGGCAGGAGATACGGTTGCAATGGCCAAATTGATGAAATGGACTGGTCCTAATAGCTTTCGGTACTGTCGCTTCTGTGCCATCTATGGTATCAGCGAGGGACACATATATTGTCCTCTGGAACCCCCACGTGACCGTAAGGACGCTCTGGGGGGGGAGGCTAGGCGCAAGGGGAGTAGGGTTCCAAAGAGGAATGCAAATTTCCCCGAAAAGTCGTGGGATGCAGAGAATCTCCCGATTTGGACCGACGCACAAGTGCGCGAAAACCAGAAAACGGTGGAGGAGACAATGGACCTGCAATGGGGCAAAATGATGGGGACCAATGGAGAGCCTGTCTTTAGCTCCCTCGTGTCGGTGGTGTACCCTTGGACGTTCACGCCGGACGTTATGCATCTGGTTGATGAAAACACGCCTAGGTTATACCTGGCGCAATGGATGGGGGTGTTCCGGGACAGGGAACTAGCGCTCCGCGCAAAGATGGCCCAGGCCGAGGTTGATGCTTCGCAGGTTGGATCATCGCATGCCCAATCCGAGGGCATGAGCCAGTCACAAGTGGAGGTGCAGCAAGAGTCTCAATTTGATAGCCAGACAAACACACAGCAGGGTGGCTCTCAGAGCCAGACCCAGGGTGAGCGGAGGAAACGTCGCAAGGGCAGGCGGGGGGTTAGCTTTAATGCTGATATAGAAGAGGACTACGTGGAGGATGCGTTTATCTTACCCAAAAGAATGTGGGACAGGATTGGGGAGGAAATTGCGGGCTCAAGGGCGTCGATACCAAGTGCGTTTGGCAAGGCATTCCGGGATATCAAGTACCACGCAAGCTACAAGGCTACAGAGCTGATGAACTTCATGCATCTGATATCCCCCATTGTGCTCAACCAACGGCTGCCTGCCGAGTACTATAGCCACTGGCACCACTTTGTACTAGCCAGCGAGAAGGCCCGGCGGTACCAGCTGAGCATGGAGGACGTCGCTGAGATGGAGCGAGACATGGTTCAGGTTGTGACGGGGTATGAGCGTCTATACTATCAGTACAAGCTCTCCAAGATCCGTGGCTGCACCACGCAGGTGCATGGGCTGCTGCACCTGGGCATGGCCATGAAGGTCTGCGGCCCGAATCCGATATACCACCAGTACCCAATGGAGAGGACATGTGGAACGATCAAGGCAATGTGCCACAGCCGTTCGTCTGCTAATCGTAATCTTTCATTGCAGCTGCTTGAGCGGGAGAGGCTCAGGTACCTGCCTTTGATTGCTTTGGTAAGTATGCGAGAGTGTGAGAGCAGAGTGGCTGTGCTGTTGCTGTTACTGATGTGAACAGGTGCCGCCTGGCTTTAGTGAGACCGCCGAGAGACGTCTGTTTGGACTGGGAGAGAAGGACAAGGTTGCCTATCCAGCAGAGTACCCGGACTGCCTCTTGATGGGCCCCAAGATCTCCCGCCGGTTGAATCAGTACGAGCGGAACCACCTGAGGCAGTTCCACGCTGACGTGATAGGTGTGCCAGTGAGGTCGAGAGAGATTGTTGGGAATCCAATGCTGTTCAGCGGCATATTCAAGCTCTGGGGTAGGGCAGTTGCGGGAAGAGTTTTGAGCAATAGCAGCGAGCATGAGGTGGTAGGATCGGCCATCTCCAACCCAAAGCCTGGTGTCTGTTCGTCCCGCAGGGATGACTCCTGTGTCAGGTACATATTGACCGGCGATGGGGACAACGATGTCTCATACTTTGGCAAAGTAATGTTCTTCATGCCGTACGAGATACACAATGACGAGAGGCTTGAGGACGAGCCAGAGCGTTTCATGATGGCCTACATCCAGCGGTTGGAGGTGGGGAGGGTGAGGAAGCTCAAGTTGGCATACATAATCAACAGACAACAACGGGTCCTCAAGGAGTTTGTTGATCTGTCCGATGTACAGGAACTGATAGGTTGCATCAAGTCGCGCGGGAAGGAGTTTTTGGTGTCAAGGACGTCGTGCTTCTGGCCAAAGAAGGGTTTTGCTTGGTGGGAAGTTATTGACAACGAGGCGCTTTTTATTGGCGCTAACGTGCAGTAATGCACACTATTAACTAACTAGATACTAGCCGACATTTCAAAGTCGTGGGCAAAGTCGTGGGCAAAGTCGTGGGTAATGTTGTTGGTAAAGTTGTAGGTAAAGTTGTTCTGTGGTTTGGGTTGTGCGGGGGGTGATGGCGAAGGGTTAACCTATCGTAGCTAATGTTGTAGGTAAAGTTGTAGCCAAAGTGGTCGGGAAAGCCGTTCCCGCACTAAAATAAATGTGGGAGGGGTCTCGGGCAATATTATTGGCAAAGGTGTCTGTAAAATTGTGTGTTTAATCGTAGGTTTAATCGTTCATGTTCAAACAAAACGGATTGCAAAGAAAGTTGTAAAGTTGTCAACAAAGGTATTTGTAAAATCGTTGGCATAGTCGTCGTGTATAAAATTTGATCGCTGAGGAAAGTTGTTGACAAAATCATTAGTAAAATCTTTGTATGTAGTTTAGTTGTTTGCCTGTATACTTGTCGGGAAAGCCGTCGGTATAAATCGTTTGTAAAATCGTTGACCTGATGGTAAACAATCCTCTTGTTTCCAGGCTTAATCGTTGGTTCATGGATTGGTATAATCGTAGGGAATGTCGTTTAGCGGATAGACGATATGGTTAAAGCATCAATTTAATCGTTGGTATATTCGTTGGTTATTTCGTTTACAGAATCTTATGTTTGGCTAAGTAATCACTAAAGTAGTTGGCGATGTAGTCAAGCAACTCGTTGACAGGAGGCCTGCGATTTGCAAAAGTGTTGGTAAACTCGTTGGCAAAGTCATAGGCAATATTGTTCCAACTATTGTGTGGTTTGGCTTTAATGTCAGTAAACTCGTTGTCAAAGACGTAAGCAATATCGTTCCATGTACTGTGCAGATTGGCTAAGTAATCACCAAACTCGTTGGCAAAGACATAGGCAATATTGTTCCCGGAACTGTGCGGTATGGCTTTAGTGTCAGTCAAGTCGTAGGCAATGTCGTTCCATGTACTGTGTGGTTTTGCTTTGGTGTCAGTAATCTCGTTGGTAAGGTCATAGGCGATGTTGTTCTGGGTACTGTGCGGTCTCGTAAAATCGTCGGTGATGTAATCAACTATTTCGTTCAATGTGGGGCCGGCGAGATGCAAACTCGTAGGCAATGTCGTTCCAGCTGTTCGTACTCCTTGGTTAAGGCATCGGCAAAGTCATTGGTAAACTCGTTCTTTCAAGTGCTGTGTTGTATGGCTTAATCGTCACTATCGTCGTATGTGTAATTGTTCCAGCTACTCGTGCTGTATGGTTAAAGCATCGGTATAGTCATCGGTAAAATCGTTCACAGAATACATGTGTGCTTTGGTGCTACAGCCTAACCGCACATGTAGCCATAGATATAATCTTAGATGTTACTACTACTATCATTATTATTATTATTATTATTATTATTATTATACAGAGTGGGCAATGAATGTCGTTAGCAATGTCGTTCCATTGGGGGCTTGGCAAAAGGAGACTGCGATGCATTATGGATGCATTATGCGATGCATTTTCGGATGCAATAGCCACCCGCTTACGGTGTGTTGCACGGACATGACGCGTAACGTAGCAGCACGATGCATTATGGATACATTATGCGATGCATTTCTTGGGGTGGTAGAGGTAGCATGGAAGCTCCTTCACAGTCGAAGCGCCGATGTTTAGCTCCAAGGCCAAATAAACTCACCTCCACTAAAACCATGAAAGTTATCCCGAGAACAGGCTCATGGGATCCTAGGGGTTTGCGTCTATATTTCGAAGGGACATAATGTAAAATTATAATCGGATAAGGTAAAAGACACGTATAGTACGGAAGATAGTAAGAAGCGAGGCATTGGATGAGTAGGCTCGAGAAGCTAGGGGGCCAAGTATTTAGACTTCGAAGAATTGACCAATCAATCTAGAAAAAATCGAAGGTCTAGTCGTAACGGCTAAAACAAAAAAGAAAACATAGATCTTTCCTGACAAACCTTAGAAGATAACTAGCTATATGAGATGCGCCAGTGGGCTGGTGCCTTCGCTCAGTTGGGGGACTCAGCACTAGACTCTGATTATCTGATTGGCTAGCAGGGAGATCGGCAGTAATCGGATCCGCATAATGTGTTGTGACGCCATGCCGAGAGAAATCCAAAAAAGGTGCACACAGCGAAAATTGCTGTACAGTCTTTTACCGTCTCTTGACGAATACTGCCAGTTGACGAACAGGGGACTTTGGGCCAATAGAAATTAAAAGGACCGGAGATCTCGTAGCTTGGCTGTTGCTTGACTGTTTCTTTCCATACTTGGAATCCCTGTTCGTCAAGTGGCAGTATTCGTCAAGTGGCAGTATTCGTCAAGTCCCTAGGGTACCAACTTTGTTAGGAATCGGGATAGCACATCCCGGGAGTCGGGATAGGTTATCCTGTGAGAGGATAAGTTTGAGTCATTTGGGATCCCCAAGCATCAAGTAGCTAAAATATAGTATCTTTACTATAGGATACTGTATTCGGGGATAGCTTATCTTTTCCCGTGTATATATATCCTTTCATGTGGATATAATCTAATATCCTCTGATAAGGATACGGATTTTCACATAGAATAAAGTGTTCTCCTGCTTGTAGTATTTCGCATCCCTAGCAATTTTGGACTTAGACAAATTCGGTTTTTTTTTTTTTTGGCTGTCGAATTTTAAAACTAAGGTTGATATTGGCAATTTGTACTAGTTTTGTATCTAAACCACTATCATAGTTGGTAACATCTGCTAGATCCAATCGCCAATGCCTAAGTTCGATTCCCCTGTATATTTTTTAAATCTAGGTTCTTGATGATATCCCCTACGAAGGGTAAGGTATCCCCTACCAGTCAGAACATCCCCACCCCATGAAATATCTCTCCTTAACTGGGGATATCTTATCATATCCCGGTAAAAAAGAATAACTTATCCAGCAAATTGACGGGTAGTACCCAATAGTTAAGATATCACATCCTACCTGAGAGGATTGGGCATCTCTCTACAGGAGGATATCATATCCCACTTCGGAGATGAAAACAGTATCCTGCCTCCGGGGATGAGTTATCCAGTACCTTGTCCTCTAGGGAAGTGGCAGTATTCATCAAGAGACGGTAAAAGACTGTATTCAGGAAACAACGGGGAAGTACGGTACTCAATTGAAATCCGGGATAGAGGTGCACATCAAACTGCTGTGTTCAAGAAACAACCGAGAAGTACGGTACTCAATTGAAATCCAAGGGGAAAAGTGCACGAAAGATGAAATCGGGAGAAAATGCACCATAGCGGAAAAGTATCGTATCCATCACGCCACGCAGGCAAAACCGAGCCCCCACGTGCATAACTAACAGTCTGTTCCACACGTTTACAGTCGCTTCTCGCTATGGCGGGATTCGATACACCGGATCCCTTGCTGCCCCGTACAAAATGCTCAGTTTTTCCTCCTGCGAAATCATTATGTCATCCTGAGTTCCTTGAGAATATTTGGTTGGGAGTTCGATAGGGTATGTTTAATATCCAGTACAAGCCAACTTTGCGGGGTAGCCACCACTTGATGCTCGATCCCAAAGATCAGAATAGAGAAGCTACTAGTAAGTAGTCTTGAGCCAGCCTGTAGAGTTACCAGGGCGGGGGCGGGGGGCTATGCCAGGCATGCAGGAGAATTCGAATCCGAGATCGGAAGATTAAGCTCAAGAATTGGTCGTCCACCCACCACGTCGTCAAATCTTGAAGTCAGCAGCCAACGGATACTTCTGTGATTCGATCCTTAGGGAGCTTATATACCCTACAGCTCTCCCGTGTTAGGATCTTTTTTCCTATCGGTTTTCTACTCCACTAGTCGACTCACAGCTATTTATTTCTCTATAAGCTTGACAATCATGCATTCAAATGAACACGAAGCCGCAAAGTCCCAAGGAAAATATATCAATACGAGCGACTTGATCACTCTGTCTGTCGCTTGTATTACAATGTTAATCACTATTCTTGCTGTGATTATACAAATCAGCGAATGCCTTAGGAAGAGAGAGAAGGTATGTAATGCAATACTCCTAGTTTCTCGGTATCTTCTATAGAACAAGGTGGAGATTAAGATGTTTTCCTGGCTCCAAGCTGGATTCTGAAGGTTCCGATTTGAATAAGTTCTTTAGGCTTACGAGAATAGGACCGCGTCAAGTGCAGACAGGATGAACCAAGAAGCACCACCTGCCTTCGATCACCGGCTGTCTCTATGTCTTCGAGAGAAGCTGTCTATGTTCGTTCGAGACCCGCCTCCTACAACTCTTCGCGGCTACCCCCAGGGGCAGTTGGTCACTCTCATACCAGGTCTGCCTCGTTAGACCCACCCCAGCGAGCCACACCCGCCGAACCGAACACCCCACCCGAGAAGGTTCTTAATATCTGGACTTGTATAATTACATGTAGTTAGTACTTCGGGCGTTTGTAGGTATGGGCAGATGGAATCTTGGGAGTAGGTTACTTCATTCGATAGTCAAACCCTTGGGGCCTCATTTGGCTACAAATTCAATTTCTCGGTTAGAATAACTGGGAATCCATTTAAATGCATGTATCGTTGGGATTTTCTAGTGTTTCTACGGAGCGTGGAAATGGGTAGCTTTTAATATCGGGTAAAGTCGTTGGTTAACGAGTTTTCAAACCTTATTGTAGCTTGGTAAATATCACGCAATATTCATATAGAGGGTATGATTGATTGATGATTCATTCTTTAAGTGGAGGAAGGTTATAATAAGGGTAATTTGAAGGCCTTATAAAATTACTCATGTCTTTCTTGACGGCTAACTTTCTTATGTAATGACCGTAACGAGGGAAGAAATTGTTCTCGTAGTGTCATGCTGGATGTCGAACAGGAGGAAAGGGGGCTTCGACCAGACAGGGGGCCGGGTCGTGGTGGAGCAAAGGGGGCTCCTGTCATGTCTTTCCTTTTTTTCTCAGCCCGTTCTCTTTTTTCTTCTCTTCTTCTCCTTATCATCATCATCGAGTATGACTGTGTATCTATCA